AGCAAGATGGAAGGTAGCTAAAGAAAAAGAGAGAGAGAGAGATACACAGAGGGAAAAGCTGTGAATAATGCCACCAGAGAACCAATTATGTTCACCAGCTGGCATTGAGAAACTTGTTCTCTTTGACAAAAAAAAAAAAAAAAAATTTAGTTTTACCCTCAAACTACTTTTTGACGTTGTGTTCTTTCCAGCCACCCCCATAAGATGTGAGAAAAAAATTCTTAACATTATTGCTACTGTAATATGTAGCATATGTGTAATATGTGTAATATGCATAATATGACAAAGCAATGAGCAAGAAGAGAAAAATGAGCTAAGGCATCAACACAGCAGTTAATAAGAATCAGCTGGATAAAATGACAGTGAAAATGAAGCATTAAAATATAGAAACCCTCTCCCCAGACCCATGACACCTGTCACAGTGAGATACATTCACTACTTGGTATAACAATGATAAAGAAACTGGTAAGGATACTTAATACATGTGAATGTATATTTCTTGTGAAAGTATTGCTGACTGCTGTATTTCCTAGTAATGTAAACTGCATTTTGGACTTTTTCTCCTATTTGTGGGGAATTGATTGCGACTAAGCCTAGAACTGAGCCTTTTGCACTTTGGTGAGCGAGACATGATCTGTTTCATGATCTGTCAGCTGGTAAAATTTGGAAAGATGTGGTGTCATCTAATCTTGAGCTCTTGATAGAGATCTTTATTCAACTGCCAGGACCCCTGCTGAGCCCATCTTGGCTGTGAGTCCCTTCTGCTCCTCCTACATGCTAGTCCTTAGGGAAATACTTGTGAATTCAATCTTTTCACTTTGTATTCTACTTTCAAGCCTGCTTTTCCCAAGTATCTATTTAAAGTCTGTAAAAATCTGTAGAACAAGTTCATTCGGACCAGCCTTTGTTGAGCCACTGAAGCAGAGTTACTCCCTGTTTGTGCACAACTCCTTCTTCTTTCTCAACATACCTAGAAATGTTTATTCAATTGCAATTTGCCTTCCTGATTATAAAAAGGAGAAACTTTGATCTAAAAGGTGTGTTGTTTCCCTTTCAAAAGATGCCAACCTGTGCAGAGCCACAGGTATGCCTGTATAGTCTATGTACTGCACAATTCCAAGTGCGCATCCACATGGACTGTAATGTCAGTGGTGCCTGTCTGTCCCCTGCCCAGCCTGAATTCTTCAGAGTGGTAGTGCTGGGTCTGTACACAAAGAGTATATATATATATATATATTTTTTGTTTGTTTGTTTGTTTTTTATTGAAATATAATTGATTATATATATTTGTGGGGTACAGAGTAAACAATTGGCATTTGTGTACAATATGTGGTGATCAAATCGGGATAATTATCATATTCATATTTTTGATGTGGCTGGATAATTTGTGTGTGTGTGGACAGTACGGGGAACCGAACCCATGACTTGGTGTTATAAGGCTTCACTTTAACCAACTGAACTAACTGGCCAGCCCATGGCTGGATAATTGTCTGGATAATTAATTTAATACATCCAGTTCTGGGGAGTAAAACAGAGCTGTTATTTGCTTTCATGCCATCCAGTCTCCAGACACTGTTGTTTGTTGAAATTTGGTGTTGTACTAAATATTTCAGAAATACAAAGGTTATCTAAATGACTCTTAAGCTTTGAACCTAAATCAGAAGGGGAAATAGTTTACACATTTTATTTCACATTTTTTCATCTTGGATTTTCCATCCTCTTATTCTCTTCTAAGGATGCAGTATTTAGCGATGAATTATACGCAGAAAGGAATAAAAAGTATGAATTCAAGGAGAGTTATTTAATAGGTCGTATCAGCCTTCCTACTTATAAATTCCCTAGAAATGCTTTCAAAAATGTTTTCCCTTTTCTTTACTAATACATTTTTTTAAAATGAAACTTTATTGAGGTTTAATTCAACCACAAAATTCACCCATTTAAAGTATACAATTCAGTGGTTTTTAATATATTCACAGAGTTGTGCAACCATCATCACTAATTTCAGAACATATTCATTATCTCAAAAAGAAACTCCAAACCCATTAGTAGACACAACCCACACTCCACTCCCACCAGCCCTAAACAAACGCTGGTCTATTTTCTGTTTTTATAGATTTGCCTAATCTAGTCATTTCATATAAATGGAATCATATAATAAATGGCCTCTTATGACTGACTTCTTTCACTTAGAATAATGTTTTCAACATTCATACATGTAGCATGTATCAGTATTTCATTATTTTTTATTTTTGAATAATATTCTTTTATATGGATATCTCAGGTTTTGTTAATCTATCATCAGTTGATGGACATTTGGGATGCTTCCACTTTCTGACTATCATGAATATGCTATGAACATTCCTATACATGTTTTTGTTGTGTGTGGACTTACGTTTTCAGTTCTCTTGGTTATGTACTCAGGAGTGGAATTGTTGGGTTATAAGATAAGTCTATGTTTAACCTCTTAAGGAACTACCAGACTGTTTCCCAAAGTGCCTGCACCATTTAAAAATCCTATCAGCAATATACAAGGGCTCCAATTTCATTTTTCTACATCCTTGCCAACATGTTATTTTCTATCTTTTTATTTTAGCCTTCGTAGTGGGAATGACCTCATTGTAGTTTTGATTTGCATTTTTCTGGTGACTAATAATGTTGAGAATCTTTACACGTGCTTATTGGTCATTTGTATATCTCCTTAGGAGAAATACTTATTCAAATTCTTTATCAATTTTTTATTATTTTTACTTATGTAAAATACACTTAACATAAAATGTTTCATCTTCACCATTGTACAGTTCAGTGGCATTAAGTACATTTAAATTGTTGTGCTACTGTCACCACGATCCATTCTCCAAAACTCCTTTCATTTTGAAAAACTGAAACTCTGTACTCATTAAACAATAATTCCCCACTTCCACTTTCCCCAGCTCCTGGCAACCACCATTCTACTTTCTGTCTCTTTGAATTTCACTACTCTAGGTACCTTACGTGAGTGGAATCGTGTAGTATTTGTCCTTTAATGACTGGCTTATTTCACTTAGCATAATGCCCGCAAGGTTCATCCATGTTGTAGCATGTGTCAGAACTTCCTTCCTTTCTAATGCAGAATAATATTGCAATTTGTATATACGCCACATTTTGTTTATGGGCACTTGGGTTGCTTCTCCTCCTTGGCTATTGTGAATAATGCTGCTATGAACATGGGTGTGCATATATCTGCCCAAGTCCTTGCTTTCAATTCTTTTGGGCATATCCCCAGAGATAGAATTGCTGGATCATATAGTAGTTCTATTTTTAACTTTTTTAGGAACTGCCATACTGTTTTGCACAGTAGCTGCACCATTTTACACCCCCACCAACAGCGCATGAGGGTTTCAGTTTCTTCACATCCTCACCAACACTTGTTATTTTCTGCCTTTTTAAAGAAATATCAGCCATCCTAATGAGTGTGCGGTGGTATCTCATAGTGGTTTTGATCTGCATTTCCCTAATGATTAGTGACTGTATTAGTCAGTTTGGGCTGCCATAACAAATACCACAGACTGAGTGGCTTAAACAACAGAAATTTATTTCTCACAGTTCTAGAGTCTGGGAAGTCCAAGATCAAGGTTCTGGCTGATTCAGTTCCTGGTGAGGGCCTCTTCCTGGCTTGCAGACGGTTAACTTCTCACTGTATCCTCACATGGCAGAGAGAAAGAGAGAGATCTTTCTCTCTTCCTCTTCTTATAAGGCCACCAAACCTATGTGATCAGGACCATATCCTTGAGACCTCAGTTACCCATAATTATCTTCTAAAAGCCCTATCTCCATATATGGACACATGGGGGTTTAGAGTTTCAGCATATGAATTTTAGGGGAACACAATTTGGCCCATAACAGTAATATTGAGCATCTTTTCATGTTCTCATTTGCCATCTACATATCTACATTGGAGAAATGTCTAGTCAGATCCCTTGCAGCCATTTTGGGAAAGAGTTGTTTATTTTTTGTTGTTCTTGAGTTGTAGTTCTTTACATATTGTGGATACAAGCCCCTTATCAGATGTATAGTTTGCAAATACTTTCTCCTATTCTGTAGGTTGTCTTTTCATTTCTTGATGGTTCCTTAAAGCATAAAAGTTTTAAATTTTGATGAATTCCCATTTATTTATTTTTGTTGTTTGCACTTTTGTTGTCATATTGAAAAAACCATCACCTAATTCAAAGTCATGAAGATTTACTCTTATGTTTTCTTCTAAGAGTTTTATAGTTTTAGCTCTTCATTTGGGTTTATGATCCATTCTGAGTTACTGTTTGCATATGGTGTGAGATATCCCTTTTCTTTTAATTAATCCCTAAGAACATCATAGAATGTTCTTTACTAAATTAGATATAAAAAACTGGTAAGGCAGGGTTTTTCTTTGCTTGTTTGTTTGTTTGCTGTTTGGGGGGGGTCTTTTAAAAAAAATAACTGACTCACTGCAGACACGGAAAGTCACATCTACTAAATCATCTAAAATGTACCCCATTTATATTAGTCTCATTCAGTCTGTTTTATAAGCAGAAAAATCCAAACATAGGGCAACTTAACAGGAATGGCTGCCAATAGCAGTGGAGATAACACTCACTGAAAGATTATGAATAATATCTTGATTACAAATAAAAACTTGGTCTCATCTTTTTAGTCCAGAATTGGCTCAGACCACATATCATTTTTTAGTATGATTAATGGAAGAGTAACTAATTAGAGTGGAAAAGTGATTAGCAAATCATTCAAAATGTCAAGTGCAGTCGAACTGCTATTCTGTCATAGATAATATAGTAAAGCTCATAGCGACAGGTGTACATAATAAATAGAAACAAAGAATACCCAGGCGTTGAAGAGTCTAGGTAATGTTTTTAAAATCAGCATTGTTTGGTTAGATTTGATTTTCTTCCTCTGAGTTGTCATACTGTTGAACTGGCCTTTGATTTATTGACATTTTCAGATTTGGTATGAATTTTCTTTTTCTATTGCAGGATACACAGAATCAAAAATTAAAGACAAGCATATGGTACCGTGAGGTAAATGATTGTTTCCTTCTATGCACGCTAGATTCCTGATCTGTATCTGCTACAAAATATCATTATTCTAAGGAGTATATATTATCTTTGAGTTTATAGTTGCTTAGATCTGCAGCAGGCCTAATTCATTAGAATCAGAGTAAGATATATGGCCATGGTTTCTGGTTGGTACTACCATCTTTAGGATTTGGATGGAAAGTCTTCTCCCCTAACAGATAGTGCCAAGGGGCTGATAAATTGGGTTAGTAATTCAATTCTCCCCTTGGTTCTTGAGTGAGGTTGACATTGTCCCATTCTGATAAATTTCCTTTTTGGTTACTCCTAACAGGTTTGGGTTGATGAGTTTTTATCCTGGAACTCCAGCATGTTTGATGAGATTAGAGAGATCTCCCTACCTCTAAGTGCCATCTGGGCCCCCGATATCATCATTAATGAGTTGTAAGTGTGCTGGTGTGTATTTCATGGGGTTTAGACTGCTTAGAATATTTAGACCAGTTGCTGCTTACTTTCAGTCGGTATTGCTATTTTTTGTTTCTTAACTCGAAGAGGAGCATATTGTCAGGAATATTCAGGTTAGAAGTACCATGAGTTGACATCATTTAAGATACAGGCTTGATTAACAATGCTTGAGGCTACTCATTATGTCTGTGTTGTAACAGTAGCAAATGAGTCAACTTATGAGGCTGTCATTGCTGAACCCATCTTCACCAGGGTGAATCATCTCAAGGGAAATGTGATTCTGTCTTTGCAGTGCTAGGCTAGTCCTAAGTCTCATGGTCACTACAATTTGATAATTAATTCTGTCTGTGCTTTGAAATGACCGAAGCCTTCTCTGTAACAAGTTTTCTTCTGTTTCTCATAGTGTGGACATTGGAAGATCTCCTGACCTTGCCTATGTTTATGTGAACTCATCTGGGACCATTAAGAACTCTAAGCCCATCCAGGTGGTCTCTGCATGCAGTTTAGAGACATATGCTTTTCCATTTGATATCCAGAATTGCAGCCTAACCTTCAATAGCATTCTGCACACAGGTAAACTATGAGAAATGCAATCCGCTAGTTGGAAATCTGGGTTGGCACACATAGGTGAAATTATATTATACCATCCCTCAGGTGTATTTTATTCCTGCACAGAATTGACTATTAAAGTCCAAATCTCCTCTTGCAGTTGTTTGGCTCCTGCTGTAATTTAGACCATGTATGATGTCATAGCCCACTGCTGCTGTTGATTTGTGAGTACAATATTAGGACTCCACTGAGAATGGTATAGAAGTCATAGGACTTCACAGTCAATCTCTATCATCATAGAACAAGGACCATCATTCTATGGAGAGTGGACTACAAACCCTAAATTCATAGTTGTTTTTTTTTCTTATGACTAGATTATTCCCCACCTCTACCCCTAATTAAAACAAGACCAATAAGACCGTGCATGTGGGGACAAGAGAAAAAGGAAGGATTCAAACGGGTTGGAAGAGTGCATTGATGTTGGTGCCTCTTTCTCTCTGGTGCAGTCAGTTGTTTCTGTTGTTTCCAGTGGAAGACGTAGACCTGGCCTTCCTGAGGAGCAGAGAAGAGATTAAGCGTGACAAAAAGGCATTTTTGAATGACAGTGAGTGGGAACTCATTTCTCTGCCCTCAACCTACAGCATCCTTCAGAGCAGCGCTGGAGATTTTGCACAGATTCAGTTTAATGTAGGTTCTTCTTCCTGTCCCTGATGCCCACTTCTCTGCAGTCTTCGGCCTTCTCTATCGGGCTGAGCAATCTGCTCCATTGCATATTCTCAATCATTATCACCCAGGAACTGTTGGTTCAGATGATTCTGGACATCCATCTGCATTCTAAAATTTCAGAGACCAGAGGTTCAGTGAGAGACCTGGGGCTCCTTCTGTAGATATTACACAAGAGAATAGAGAGAAAATAGTCTTCAGATGCCACAGACCTGAACCACCCCCTGCAGCAGGAATTCTTAAACCTTTCAGCACATACTAACACTATCACTTCTAATTGCTACTGAGAAAACAAACCCACCCACAACAACAACAAAATTGGGAAGAGTGCTTTATCAAGATTATTGTCCTGTTTTTCATAAAGTAAATTATCAATTAATTCCAGGTGCAGATGCATAAAATATTCATATTATTAACTTGAATATCTGAAGGGATTAGCCTATAAGTCACCTGCAGGACCCACAGAGACCACTAGTGGCTTCTGGATCAGAGGGAAGAACTGCCCAAAAGGACATGATGAGAAACCACACTCCTCCAGTGCACCCCGGGAATGCTCTCAGCTGCATCATTCACAGGGAAATTTGTCCAGTGGGGGATTGCGGGGCAGTGGAGCCTACTGCTTTGCACTCCACAGGCAGCCATTCTCCCTTCCCTGGCCCTTCTGGCAAACTCTCCTGACCTGTGGTCTGCAGCAAGTTCATACAACCAGCAGACTCACATAGTTAGTATTCATCAGTGTGCTCTGCTTTCCTGTACAAAGTTGGCTAGCACTGGGGGTGGGAGTTGTCCTTCATGCCAAATAATGGATCCAGTGGAAAAATAGAGACTGCAGGCGGGTCAGGATTACACATGAGATAGATTCTCTTAGAAACAAACCTTTGGAATAAGAAGGAAAATTTAGACTAAGCTGAGGTGCTGTGGTTGCAATAGATATGCTAAGGAGTGGTGGTGAGATAAGCTATTATTGAAAGCACAAATGTCCCTCCATTGGTTAAAAGGTTTCATATGCAGCTTTCAGCAAAGCTCTTGTTAAACTGGGGCCTCTTAGACACAGCTATGTCTTTGTACATGTGTAGTCTGTGTGTAGTTTGAACCCAAATAATATATAATGCTGGTTAGTAGCTAATTACAGCTCATACCTTCCTAGAGGTGGGTTTTGGGGTCTTGCCTAGAATTCTGCTTGGTTTTTTTAAAATCAGAGCTTGCTTTGTGGCCTGTTTGTCCACTTTTTTTTAGTGAGGGAAAGGAAGGGAATAAAAGCTTTTTTTTTTTTTTTTTTAATTTCAATGAGTTTCTTGGCTAAGAGTAAACACCTCATTAATTTTAAAGATATAAGCCTGCAAACATTATTAATGCAGCCCAAATAATGGAGAGCATTAAAGGGAAATGTGAAGGAGTAGCACGTGCAAGGTGGAATACAGTCACCTACCAAGCACTCCGGAGAACGCTGTACACACCATTACCTACGCCGCACGGAGGAGACCAACAGGCAAGAGAAGGGGCAGGGAAACGGGAGCATGAGCAGGTGCGCTCTCTCTCTCTCTCTCTCTCTCTCTCTCTCTCTCTCTCTCTCTCCATAGAACAGCCATTACTTGCAGTTACATGTCACCCTTCATCCTAAATATTAATTATTCTTCTCAACAGCAGCTGAAGGTTCTCTATGAACTACTTCCATTTATAAAATGATCGGCGGTGGTAAGAGATTGTTTAATGAGGGGGAAGCGTCTCTGGATCTAGGACCCGTGGCAGTTCCTGTGCTCTGCTCACCGCCACGATTCCCCCTCATTTCCAGTGTTCATATGCAGGCATGCTGGAAGCAGGCGTTGATTCAGTTTCATGCTCCGAGCTTTTCCCTGGGTCCCTTTGCCCTGGGGGCTAAGGAGGGTTATCTGACCGGGCTGGCTCCCACCCTGTCCTTAGGAACAGAGTAGGGAAAGGATCCTGAGTAGAGTCACAGGTCCTATCTGGTAGAGCAGGGAACCAGACTCAGCAGCAATCCTGCAGCTTTAGAAAGACGAAACAGATTCCATGACCGTCATGGTTTTCCATCTCCCTCAGCCTCTCCCAGCCTCCATGCTTCCCCATTCATGCTGTGTGTGCTGTGCCTAGGCTTGTTGTGTTCTCTTACTCCACACCAGACATCTCATCCTGAATTTAGCATCCCTGTGTTCTTCAACAGCCTGTGGCCAGTTATGTGGAATTCAGAGCCCAGTTCCGTGCCAATATTGGGCCTGCCAGAGTCCTGACAGCAAAGGGCCATCTCCCTCTTAATCTAATCACCTGCTGTGTCCCAGGCTGCCCAGCAGGAGGTTGGGGACAGGTGGGGCAGGCAGGGGAAGCAATGATTTATTCTAAATACATCGTTGCCCTGGGCCTGATATATACTGCTGCCATTTATACTAAATCAAATGCTCCGGATGCCCCGTTAGTTCCAGCTAATGTGCAATCATAGCTGCCAGCTGTGGGACACGTATTGTTTATCAGAGGGCACCGCTGATGATTTGGAGTCAGACTACATCCCACAGGGGCCCAGAGCACAGGCACTTCTCCCTACAAGGAAGTGTGTGTGCAGCCTGACACCCGATGCAGTAGCCATAGGAGGGGAGATTTCTTCCAATATGTTATTGGAGGTGCTGGTTCCCAGAAACAGCAGGGTGAACATTCGATTTCTGTATCACAGTGTTGTTTTTGTTTGTTTGTTTTTGTTTTTTTAAAGAATGAGGGTAGAAGTGGGAGGAGGTAGGAATAAAATTTAGGAACTCATGTTGGATGGAAAAGCTATGGAACTAAATTGAGCCCAACTGCAAATATCCTCACACTGAGTAAAATGTTCACTCAGGCAGGAATTGGGGTGCCCACAGGGTACTTCTAGAAAAATGCAAAAGGGCATTTGGGAGAGAATGGTGCCTCATTTATCCTCTTTTTCTATCATAATTTTCCTTTCTAGATTAGGGTAGAATAATTTTGTTGAGATAGCCATTGAATGCAGCTCATAAACTTGATAGAAGATCCTTTTAAGCACCATCAGATTATGAGAGAGAGAATTTAAAGCTCTAGAATTCCAGGGTCTCTCAAGTAATGCAGGAATCATGGACTTTCTGCTAATCCAGCTAAACCCACAGTCCAGATCCAAGAAGCTCTTACTCTCATGCAAGGATCTTACTCAAATGGTAGCAACTTTCCCGTTCTTTCTGAACTGGGAATTTGGGGAGAGGGGGGTTGGGAGAGGAGGAAAATGGGCTTCTGTATGAAGTGTGAGTCTGGGTGTCAAAATTCCAAGTATGTCATAAAGACGGTCATGCAAAATTGAGTACTGGTGGGGACTACCATCAAGGAGGCAATTAGAGGCTAACCTTGGGGCCTATTCCATCTCCAAGGAGCTCTCCACACACACATTCTGAATTAGATTGATCTCTTTCATTAACATCAATAGGCTCCAAATACCTTTGTGTACTTATTATTACCTGGCTTTAATGGATAATGAAATTGTAGCATAATATTGCTAACACCTGAAGGGTATCTAATGGAGAACACGGACTGAAACTAAAGTGCTTTTTCTTCCCTTTCTGTGGAATTTAAAAGCACCAGCTTTTTTAGTCCATTAGAAATGATGAGCCCTAGGTAGGGGCAGCTTTGCAGAGGGTAGTGTCACACTGAGCTAGTGACATATCTCCCCCTCCACGCCCCCCGCCACACACCAGAAGTAAGGGCTACTGCTTCTGGTATGATCTGCAGAGAGGTAGTGCTCAGAAAGACTGACCTCTATAGGATAGCCCCCATTTGGGCTAACTCCATACTCCCATTCCATTGGAACTAAAAGTAGAATTATTAACAGATTTCAATGCAATTCAACAAACATCTTTTGAGCTCTTATCATGTGCCAGGCTCAATGGTAAACACTTAGGACATAAAGATGAATAAAACAAGGCTCCCAATCATCTATCATGGACCTTAAGTTCTTCCCAGAGAGACATAATAGCAATAACCACAAAACTGACTACTCTATGCCAGGCACATTTTATGAGTTTTTACACGTAATACCCACATCTTTATGAGATGGGTTCTCTATGTATCTGCATTTTTACAAATGGATGAATTGAGGTGCAGAGAAGTTAAGGAACTTACCAGAGGTTGTGGGGTGACCCAGGCAATCTGACTCCAGAAACTATGTGCCTAATCCTGTGTCATGCTGACACACAACTACATGTAATGCAGTCCATTCCAGTCCATTCTTCACCATTCACCTATTGTGCATTACTGGACAACTCACCTGTCTTAGTTTCACAAGGCTGCCATAACAAAGTTCCCCAGACCGGGTGACTTAAAAAAACAGAAATTTACTCTCTCACAGTTCTGGTGGCTAGAAGTCTGAAATCAAGATGTTGGCAGGGTTGGTTCCTTCTGGGCAATCTAAAGGAGAATCTCTCCCAGCTTCTGATGGCTGCCAGCAGTCCCTGGCATTCCTTGGCATGTAGATGGATCTCTGCAATCTCTACCTTCATCTTCCCAGGGCATTCTCTTTGTGTGTCTCTCCTCCTCTTCTTATAAGGACACCAGTCATATTGGATTAAGGGCCCACTCTACTCTAGTATGACCTCATCTTAACTAATTACATCTTCCATGATCTCATTTCTAAGAAAGGACACAGTCTGAGGTTCTAGAAAGGACATGAATTCTTGGGGACACTCTTCAACCCAGTACAGTCTGCCACCCTCTGGCCCACCAAAATCACATCTGCCCCATATGCAAAATACATTCACCCCATACCAACATACCCAAAAGTCTTAACCCATTCCTGCAACAACTCAGTCCAAAATATAATCCATGTATGAACTCAAGAAGTTCCAAATCTTGGGCCAGCCCGGTGGCGCTCCGCGCTAGTGCGCCGCTTGGGAAGCGCGGTTGCGCTCCCGCCGAGGGTTCGGATCCCACATACAGACCGGTTCCCGCTCACTGGCTGAGTG